AGGGCAGAGCACAGCAGCCCAGAATGGTGTGGAGGAGGGAACCACAAGGGGAGAAAGGTCAGGAGAGACTGTGTGGGAGGCACCAGAGCCATCTCTGTAGCATCTTTTGATGGGTCCTGCAAAGGCCTCACTGCTCCCACATCCTGCACTCTGCCACTGCCATCATGTACTTCCTCCCTGCTTGTGCAGATCAGATGGTGGCCCTGGGGCCCAAGGCTCCATCTGCTTGTCGCCTCAGCGCTCATGCTCAGTGTTGACTCATGGGTCCAGGCTGGAAGTCACAGGCCAGGCATCCATGCTGAATGCATCTCTCCTGGGAGAGCAAACCCATTCAGTCATAATTTGCCATTAACCCCTTATATTAGTTTATTGGCCTGCTGCAACAAGTTGCCACATACCAGGTGGCTTAAAACAACAGAAATTTATTCTCTCAGAGTTCTGGAGGCCAGAAGTTCAAAACCCTGGTGTTGGCAGGGTTGACTCCTTCGGGAGGATGTGAGGGGAGATCTGTCCTGCTTCGCTCGTGGCTTCTGGAGGCTGCTGGCAGTCCTTGGCACACTGTGGCTTGTGGCTACGTAACACTGGTTTCTGCCTCTCTCTTCATATGGTCTCCTCCTCTGTGACATCTCGTCTTTTTATAAAGACACTTGTCATCAGGTTTAGGAATGAGTCAACCTGGTTTTCATCCTGAGATCTTTAACTTAATTATATCTGCAAAGACTTATTTTTCCAAATAAGTTCATGCTCATGGGTCCTGGGTGGACGTATCCTGGTGGGTGGGGGAGGGGGGCACACCATTTTCACTACACCCCTGGAGCAGTGTGACAGTGTGCCCTTGGGAGATGAGGCACAAGGGAACTTTTGTTGAGATAAGAGGATAAGTCTGGATGAGACATTGCACTGGGGGTCTTGGGCAAATTCCCAGAAGTGTTTGGGCCTTGGCTGTAGAGGCTTTTCTGAGACTGAAGACTCAGGGCCCAGTTTTGAAGTGATGATCAGGGCTTGTTGATAGGCTCCACCATGTTGGGGATGGACCTCTGTGCCCATGGTCCACTTGGGGGCTCATCCAGGGCAGTGCTATCCAGCAGAACCTTCCGTGGTGATAGAAATGTTCTTTAGATCTGAGCTGTGCAGCACAGTGGCTCCTATTCCTATGTGTCTATTGAGCTTTTGAAATACCCACTCTGGCTAGTGCAACTGAGGGACTAGATTTTTTACTTCTATTTAATTTTAATTTTAACATAGATAGGACTATGGGACTAGTGGCTTCTGTATTGAGCATCACAGCTCCAAAGTGTCTTGATTTCACCCCTTCTCCTTGTCTGTTTTTCATTTCACTATCAAAAATGTAATTTAACACAAGAACTGAAATTGTTCTTTTGTTTTTTTATGTACATCATGCTTACAGTTTTAACTTTTGGCTTAGAGACAGAGGCCAGATGGAGCTGACCGGTTTTAGACCCAGCACAAGAAAGCATGGCCTCCTCCTGGAGTGAAATGGAAAAGAGCAGTGTTTCCCTGTGGACAGTGCTGTGGCTCATGGTTGCCTGGTAGTTAAGCAGCAGAAGCAGCTGGAGAGGCTGCAGTAAAATCTACAGTCACTGGCAGCAAGGAGGTTGCTGGCAAGGTTTCTTAGAGTCAGAAAGAAGGGATGAGAACCCATGTCCACATCCCTGGGCCTTGTTTGGAAGTCTATGAGTTTGGGGTTCTTTGCTGTTTATCATGGTTTCTGGGAAGCCACAGGTGAAATTTGGGTCTCATAAAGCAATTTTTCCCCAAATTACTCCTTGTATTCCTGCTTCCACAGATGGATATTGTATACTATCTTGCTTTAGAGTGAGGATATTTATTTTTGCACACTGTTTAGACATGATCTTAAACAACACTTCATTTATTTACACGTTGGCATGTTTTTGACCCTTCTGGATGAAAAATAAAGTGTTTGCCTGAGAACGGAAAATCTCCAATGAGATGGCTCTTCATAGGGTGATGGGATCTTCATGGACTTAAACTATATGGGCTTTAAGCTCAAGCTCATCTCCTTTTCCTTGCTTCTTCCTGGCAAACCAGCCACAGTAGCATCAAGACTCAAAGCACCTGCCTCTGTGCTCATGCTTCATGGGCACCCATGTGTCCAGGCTAGAAGTCACAGGCTAGGAAGAAGAGGAGGTTCTGGGCCTCAGACTCTGCGAATGCAGGCAGATCAGGCCTATTTTAGATGGGGATTTGTAGAGGTGTCTGCTGCTCGGGGTCATGCTAGCACAGCACTGTGTACATGTAAGACACAAATTAGGGATTTAGAGGCGCGGAGGCTGCTGAGTGTTGCTAGGCAACCTTTCAGCTAGGCCTGGAGGTAACACAATCTCTGGGAGCAGCCTGGTAGGAAACCTCCTAAGGACAAAACTGAACTTTAAAAACAGCGTCTTCTGCAACTGCACCTGCCTCGCTTACCTCTAGAAAGGGTGGGGGCAGGTCAGCAGAGTCGTGCTGTTATATAAGCTGCTTGGGGGAATTGTGCATCCATGGATTCTTTATTTGTTATGTCTTCTTTTCCTTATGTATTTATTTATATCCCACCTTGTACAAGAGAGGATCTGTGGTCACTTTCAGAAACACAGATGCTGCAGCAGGACAAACATTAAATAAGAAGAACCTGGGGCAAATGGAAAGGAAGCGTAAGAAAAGAGGAGTGTTGTTGGTCACTCAGCAAGGATATTGAGGATTTACCACGTGCTTGGCTCTGTAGGTACAGCAGTGAACAGAAAAACAGTCATGGTTCCTGCCCTCCTGGAGCTTACAGTCTAACAAGAAAGGTGCAGGGGTAGGGTGGGGGAGGCAGGAAGAAAGGCCATCATGGATCCAGTGCTTTTGTTGGGGGTAGGCTGCAAATTAGACTGTGAGTCTCCTGGTGGCCAAAGCAAGAGGTGACTACAATTATGAGGGGTTGGGTATGTTATCAGTGTTGTGTTGGTAACAGTACAGCAACAGTAGCTTCATCCTACTGTCCTGGGTGTGCAGATCATGACACACATGCCACCAGGCCCTGTGCAGGCCCTTCTCTCCTGCTTCGCTGTCAGCCTCCCTTTGGCATCAGCCTTCTGATTGGGTTCATGTTATCCATGAACTGGTGGCCATCCCTCAAGTGAAGGGCTTGGGTGCTCTTCGGCCCAGCCAGTCCCAGAACTCTTCCCTGCAACCTCCCACTCATATCCTAGGGCAGACTGTTCTCTCTTTCTAGAATGCCATTTATCTCTGTTGTCTCTGTCTTCTGTCGTTGCCCATTTAGGGCCCTTTACAGTTTTTAATGTGCCCTTTACTGACAGCATTTTATTTGCTTCTTCCAGTAATATGGTTTGATTCTGTGTCCCCACCCAAATCTCATCTTGAATTGTAATGCCCATGTGTTAAGGGAGGAACCTGTAATCCCCACATGTCCCAGGGTGGGGGAGAAGTGATTGGATTATGGGGGCAGTTTCCCCCACACCATTCTCATGATAGTGAGTGAATTCTCATGAGATCGGATGATTTTATAAATGGTAGCTTTCCCTGCACTCTCACATGCTTTCTCTCCCCTGCTGCCATGTAAGACATGCCTGCTTCCCCTTCCACCATGATTGTAAGTTTCCGGAGGCCTCCCCAGCCATGCAGAACTGTGAGTTAATTAAACAACTTCTTCTTCTTCTTTTTTTTTTTTTTAAATAAATTACCCAGTCTTGGGGAGTGTCTTTATAGCAATGTGAGAATGGACTAATACATCCAGCAACCCTGATGAGCTAGCTGTGATCTTAGTCATTTACAGCAAGAGGAAGCAGAGGCACAGCCTGGCCTGGATTTGCCTGAGGTTCCACAGCTTCCTGACCTCACTTGACTCCTATATTTGGCTTCATCAGATTTGGCATATATGACTTTGCTTATATAGTGGGCATGTAGCTTGCTTATAGACTCTGGAAGAGCCTAATCCTTCTGCTTCTGGCATCTCTCTGGGAGGCAGGCCAGAATTTCATTACCCCTTCCATGATCAGGCCAGGGTCATCCCTTCATCCCATGGATATGAGTATCTGAGGTCTGATTCTCCCAACGCAGTCCTTTTGTTTGTCTGTCTGTCTGTTCATTTGTTCATTCAACAAATACGTCTTGAGCATGCCAGGCACTGTGTACTAATCACCCACCATCCTTGCCCTCAAGGAGCTCACAGTTTAGTTGAAGAAGGATCCACACAGGTGAGATGACAGTGCAGAGTAAAGAAAGTGTGAGTGTGAGTTAGGGTATTAGTCAACAGCAGCACTGGGTGCTTAGGGTGACAGGAAGTCTGGGATCAAGACATATGGAATGGTTGTAAGATCTGGACAAATTTAGCCTATTGGTGTTTTTATTTCTGCTGCTGTTGCTTAACACTCTAACTCACACTCACACCTTCTTTATGCTGCACTCTAATCTCACATGTGCTGATCCTTCTTCTAATTGGGCAAAGTTCACTTTAAAGTGCAGGGGCATCGAATTGCCATATACCCTTGTATGAGTTACCCATAGAAGCAAGAAAGGCCTTACCTCCTGTATTCTTGAAAGCATTCTTCTATTAATGCAACCTTAATTTGCAGCAGCCTGGTGGTATAAGAGACAGCCTTTATAGGTATGCCTGCATTGTAAGCCTTTTATACAAGAGGAGACTTCTTGGAGCACTTGGAGACATAGGGCCCACTTTTCCCTGAGGATTGTTGAAGAAATCTTGTTTAAGAACATGAGGGCAAGTGCCTTGTGCGTGTCCCATTAATGAATGCTGCCCGCTCTCAGGTTACATAGCAGTGGTCTTGGATGGATTTCAATGTTTTGATCCCTCTTTAAAGAAAGCAACCGCAGCTATCCCAATTAGGAATTTGGAAATACCCTTGTGCAGCCGTTGGGGTGGGTGTTGATTGGGCCATTGTGTTATCATTCCACGCATCTCCCAGAGATAGAGACCTGCATAAGTAAAACCATATTTCTGTTCTTTACGATCCAAGGTACCAATCCCAGGACTATGGGGCAGACTCAGGAGGCAGCACATGGGGAACATTCTCAGACTTGGTAAGTAGCTGGCCCGCTGATAGAGGAGATTAAGGTGCTTTTGATCTCTTCTCCCCTAATGACAATGTCTCTAGTTTTAAAAATGACTTGGGGAAATCTTTCTTTGAACAGTCAAGAGGCTGCTTCAAAAAGAGCTCGCCCTGTTTCTAGACAATGTGTCTGGAAAATTATGCTGCTGAATTGTAAATGGAGTTAGATGAATTTTCCCTTCTGTCCCCTTAAAATCATGACTTCGTCCTTTAGATGCATTAGCTGATGACCCACAGTGCACCAAGGCTCCCCACTTTCTCCTGGAGTCAGGCCACCTGTCAAGGCTCCAGCCCCTCAGAGGTTTGCTCTGGACAGTCACATCTGTCTGCATTTGCCTGAGGAGTCGTCTGTATGCTTTAGGGCATTGCTTTGCTGCCATACTCTGCAACCTCCATCCAAACTTGGCCCTCCGCCTGTTATGTTGAGCAGGTAGCCTGGGGAGAGGGACCTCCTGAAGGCAGCAGAATGATGTAAAGGCATTCTGGTGAGATTAAGTCTGGAAGCAGCAATTCCTTGTGCAAGATGTGTGAGGAAAAAAAAAAAAATATGTGAGTGTTGCTTTGGCCCTGAATGCATGGAGAGCTATATGAATTAGTTAGAACTCAGATGTCAAATCATCAATGAAAGAAAATCTGGCTTAAGTAAACATTTAACCCCTTACTCATGTCTTCATGACATGGAGATTAAAAGTGTGAACCTTAATGTAGACTGCATGGGTTCAAGTCCCAGTGTCTCCAGTTACTAGCTGTGTGGTCTTGGGCAAGTCGTTTAATTTTTCTGAGCATAAATTTCCTCATCTAGAAAGCAGCATCTAGCTCAATGAATTTTGAGAAATGAAATAATGCATAAATAAAACACCTGCTTTATCTGCTGTGTGCCCTACCAAATTTTGTTGTTGCTTTGTAATTATAATTATTCGAATGTTATTCTAATCCTTGACTGATTGTTCACAAGCTTTTTACCTTACTTACTGTGACTAAGCTCCTCGTGCAAGGAGCTATGGGACAAAGAGGGAAGGATGAGATTTCATTTCAATTTCATTGGAAAAGAATAAATGCACAAAAAGTAAAAGTGTGTTTTGAAGCATATAAATTTATACCAAAAGGGAGAGATGATTATTAATATTCATATTTAGTGAGAGTTTCCACATAGAATATGAAAATGCAAGAGAATATTGCTTCCACCCTAACAGTAAAACAAACCAGACAGTTTATAAAATCACATATTTTAAAGTCTGCCCTGAGGACACAAGGTAACCTAGTGAACTAAAATCAAAAGAGTGGCAGCCCCTCCAAAGATATTACCCTGGGCAGAGCAGCAGGAGGAGGAGGTAACCATCAGAGATAGTAATAAGAAAACAACTGAAATTGTAAACATGTTTTAAGAGCCAAGTATGGGCTAGCATAACCGTTTAGAATTATTGTAAGCTGCAGACACAAGGGGTGTCTCACTCTTGTCCTTTGGCTTCCACTGAGAGCTTACACAAAAAAATTGGGGGCAGAGTAAAAGGATAGACAACTCTTTGTGGTGCAGGTCCTGCCTGTCTGTAGCAAGAGAACTAACAAACTCCCTCCCATGCTCATGACCTTTTGTGAGTAAGAGGCAGAGGTTATCTGCCACTGGAAGTTCTGGGAGGTGCATACCTGAGGTAGAGGTATACACAAGGCCTGCCCAACACTAAGGCTAGGGCAGGGAAACCAAGAGAAACCCTCATGGACTATGCATGGGCAAGAGTCAGTGGTTATCTGCTGCTGAGAAAGGGGCAGAAAACCAGGTCTTACTCAGGATCTTGCACTGAGTATAAGGCAGCTGTTCTCTACTACTGGGTGAAGGCCAGAAACTGACCCAAGCTCAAGGTTCTACACTGAGTGCGAGATAATGTCATGTGGGGAAGAGAGAGGAGAGCTAAGAGTGATCCTCTCTAAGGCCCAGGTATGTAGGACTGCCTAAATAAATCCTTCTGAATGGTGGGCCTTGTGTTAGGCATCAGACAGTAGTATAACAGTAGGAGAGGGGCAGGAATGTTGAGAGACGTCTTCTACAGTGCAGAGCCTGCTGAAGTCTAAGGTGGTACAGGAGAATTGAGAGAAACTCTATTACACTAGACTTCATGCTAAGTGGGAGACAGCAATAGTCCACCAGTAAGAGAATCTGAAGATTGTAGTGCATTGAATGTAACTAAAACAATAGCAAAGTGCAAACTCAGCTCAAATACAGATTAGATAGTAAGCTTCCCGGATTAACAGACTGATGGAGGAAGACAATTCTCCATTTTTTGATGTATTTGCCTCATTGCTACTATTTTTTACATACAATGTGTTGCATTCAATATAAACTTACCAAACACATACACACCCCCAAGCAAACAAATGAACAATGATATGATCGCTTGTCAAGACACAACATAGTCAATAGAACCAGACCAAAGCTGGCCCAAATGTTGCAATTATCAGACAGGGACTGTAAAGTAGCTAAAATAAATATGCTGAAGGATCCAGTGCGGAAAAGGTAGGCACCATGGGGATTTTCAGCAGAGGTATGAAAACTATATTAAAAAAGATCTAAATAGAAATGCTAAAAAATGAAAAAAATGTCAGACATGAAAAATTCTGTCAATGAAATTATTAGAAAATTGGACACAGGAGAAAAAAACTTAAAGATATATCAATAGAAATGATCCAATCTGAAACAAAAAGAAAAAAGAATGAAAAAAATAGTATCTGAGTTCTATGGTATAATATCAAATGTCTTATATATAATTAGAGTCCTAGAAGAAGAAGGTGAGAGAGAACATGACAGAAAAAATATTCAAAGATAAAAGAATAAAACATTTTCTAAAACTAAAGGGTAAATATAAGCCTTACCAAGAAGCTTAGAGAATCCCAAGCGGAATCAGTCAAATTGCTGAAAACAAAGGATAAAGTATGTCAGTTTCGGCTTGCTACAGGAAAAAACAAAAGATCTTGTCAACCTATAATTCTATATCCAATAAAAATATCATTCAAAAATAAAATTGAATTGAAGATATTTTCAAGCTGACAAAACCAGAAAGAAGCCATCTCTAGGAGATGCTAAAAAGAGTTCTGTAGGCTGAAAGAAAATGATTTCAGTTGGAAACCTGGTCCTACAGGAAGAACTTGCATGAATGGAAAACATCAGAAAGAGTGAATAGGTCTATATATAAAAAGTAGTTTTAAAACTTTTTAAAGATAATTGACCATTTAAAGTAAAAATAACAAAGGAACATGGAGATTAATAGTATTTTAGAATGAAAGTGATAACATAAAGGGGTGGGGGAACTGTTCTTAAAGTGCTCATGAAGTAATAGAATATTTTTTTGAAAGCAAACTGTAATGAATTAAAGGTAAAGATTGCAGTCAGTAGAAAAATCACTAAAAATAATTCAAAGAGGCATGACTAAAATGTCAGTAGAGGAGCTAAAATGAAATACTAAGAATATGTTTCATCCTAAAAATAATAGGAACATAAAAACAAAGAGCGTAAAAGATAAAAACCAAACCAAAATTTGGTTTAAAATCAAAATAGATAATTGCATTAAATATAAAGGGATTGATCTTCCCAATTAAAAGGCAGAAATTGTCAGACTGGATAAAAATGCAAGACTCAACTATAGAAATAAACTTTAAATATAAAGACACAAACAGGTTGAAAGTAAAGTATTTGAAAAAGATAACCTGCAAATACTGTGCGTAAGAAAACAGGTGAAACATATCAGGTGAAGTAGACTTCAAGTTGACAAAAAGATATCAGAAACATATTATCATGTTATCAAGGGCTTAATTAATCAAGACCACATGAAAATCCCCAAAGTTTTTGTACCTAATATCAAAGTTCCAACATACATGAAGCAAAAATGGATAAAATAAAGGACGCTATACATATACAATCATAGCTGAAGAATTTAATATACCCTCTCTCAGTAATTAATACACTGAAAAATTAGTTGAGAGTATGGAAGATTTGAACAACACTGCTGATAACCTGATCTAATTGACATTTTTAGATTATTCCACACAACAGAAGCAAAACACACATATTTCTCTAATGCATGTGAAGCATTTCTCAAAAGAGAACATGAACTGGATCATAAAACAAGTCTCAATAAACTTCTTAGATTGAATTTCTAAGCATATTCTCTGAACACAATGAAATGTAAAGTGGAAATCAATAACAACAAGATACCTAGAAAAATTATTTGAACGTTTGGAAATTAAACAACACATGATTAAATAAACCATGAGTCACAGAAGAAATGAGGGAATTTAGAAAATATTTTAAATTTAATGATAAAGAAAATATTTTGATAATGAAAATCAGAATTTGATAACAATAATGAAAATCAAAATCTTTGGCATACACAAAATTTAAAGGGAAATGTACAGCTTTAAATGCTCGTATTAGAAAATAAGAAAGGTATAAAATCAATAAACTTTGCTTCCACCTTAAAAAGCTAAAAGAGATGAGTTAACCATAATCAGAGTAGAAAGCAATAAAACAGGAGACAAAAAATCAAGAAAATCAGCAAAAACTGAAATTGGTTTGCTAAAAAGATTAATAAAATTGATAAACACCTAGGAAAACTAATAAAGATAAAAAGTCAGAAGATACAAATTACCAATATCAAGAATAAAAGAAGAGACATCACTAAATAGCCTACAGACCTTAAAAGGATAGTATAGTAATATTATAAATAACTTTATGCCAATTAATTCAACGATTTGGATGAAAGGGACAAATTCCTTGAAAAACATAACAAAATGGACCCAAGAAGAAATAGGAAATATAAACCCTATATTCATTGAATAAATTGAGTTTATAATTTAAAAAACTTCCCACAAACAGAAATCTAGGCCCAGCTAGTTTCTCTGGCAAATTGTTTCAAATATTTAAGGAAGAAATATCAATTCTACACCAACTCTTTCAGAAAATAGAGTGTTAGTGAATACTTT